TAACATTATCGACCCTGATGTCACATACAATACATTTGCATTGATCAGCTGAAAGCATTGCATTGAATAGACTGCAAAATATTAACCACTACAATATTTCACCAAAGTTTTTGGTGTACTAGCCACATATCAGGTTTGTCATAGGTAATTTGGAAGTAAGCAAATTTGAAAGTCTATCTATCTAGAAGCATGAAAAAGGAGTGCATAGACAAATGCAGTTCACATATACAATTATGAAAAGTTATTCAAATAAATACATTGATTGTATCTTTGAAGCAGAGGCAGTAGAATAAGCAGATAAATGGTCATCAATTGGACAATTGTTATGGCTTTATTGATTATTCTGGCACCAGATGGAGGGACCCTTTTTTCTTTCATTTTATCAGTTTGTATTCCTTTCAATGACTCAATCATATTTGTTGACATGATATTGGTGGGAAAGACCAAATGGATAAAACTTGATGTATTGTTATTAGTTTAATAATGTGTTAAAATTCTCACAATATATAATGCTGGCTCTTTGTCATTTTAACATTGATATGTATCTTACTATACTAGTTTTCAGGATTAACAAATGCCTGGGTACCTATATCTTTTTTATTCTTCTTTCTTCTATGTTCCAAACATGGTCCTCCACAAGATGTCTTATGTAACTCTGAGTAAGTTTTGTCTTTTTGCTATTCCTTGTAGTTGCTGTTCTTCCAACCATTTACATAAGCTTATTAAGGAGAAAACAAAAATATTGTCTAAATTGGCATATTTTTGTTTATGTTAAAGATGAAATAAACAATATCTTTGGCCTATTATGCTTTATTTTAAGAAAGGTAAAAATGAAACTCAAATACTAAGAAAAAGATTTCTACAATTTATAAAGAAGGCACTGTAAATGATTAATTGCATTAAAATCAGTTTGAGAAGCTTTGTGCTGGGGATTTTTAACTAAACTATGTTCCATCCTCAAGCAGATATCTAAAACTACAAACTTCATTGCCAACTGTGTCCTATGCTGACAATTATAGTCATCTTAATGAGGTTACATGAACTGACTTATTCCTTTTTACACAAATGCTTTGCTTTTTCTTCATGTTGGTCTATTCCAACAATTCTATTGACAAAGTTGGTTGGGGTTTTGTTATATTTCGATGCCCAAGATAAAGTTAAAAATGACAAAACCAAATAACACGGATCCCCTTGATATGTGACTTATAACTGTTTGAAATCCTGAACAAAATTCATTATATTATGTTTTCAGATGAAGACATAATTGGTGAGAATCCTTCCAGTTATATTTTAAATTCCAGAATTTCTTTATTAGATTAGGATCTATATGGTTTGTCTAAATCCCTTTTAGCCAGATTTCTGGTCCTCAATTATGAGATTATCTCATTAACAGCTCAGTCTTTCCTGTTGCCAAATATGATCTACTTTTAATGAACCTAAATATAGTCCTCTTCAGCTATTTGGCAACTTCCATATTTGGTAATAAATTAATTCACAAACACTGCTACAAATTCCAAAGTTTATTTATTTGTATATATCAATATCTTTTATCTATTTTCTCAACTAAATCCAGACTAAGTGAAAAAAGTAAAATGTTACCTGTTCATTTTTTCAACTCACCCAAAAATACCACATACAATTACTTGCTTGTAAAATCCTACTATAGAGCAGTTTCATCTTGCCACAGGTAAGTTCAGGTTGATAGGAATTAAATGAAAACATTACTTGAGAATAATCAACATTATTACATTATAAAATTTGGGAGAGAGGGCCAATATACTCAAAATATCCAATCATTTCCACCAGATTTGATATATCATTTACATGTGTGTTAAGCAAAGCAAAAAACAACTAACACAGATCTCCTCTTTTTTACATAAACTATGATAGACAATGAAAAGTAGATACTTTATAACAGTGTAAAATGTCAGAGATCATAGAGCAAATGAAATGAACCACTACTAACTGGACCAATGGCTAGTCTTAATTCAAAGAAGTTTATACTATTTATATACGAGGGAATTGGAAAGTTTTGCCCCATTATGATGATGTTCTGGATGATTTGAAAAAGTACAGCTCTAAATGAGACTCACCAGAAGCAGCAATCAGCAAAAAAAATGCCTGGAATTACTTCAAAGAAAAGGCATTGTATCCCATCAGGATTACACTAGAAGATATATTTATTTGGCAATAAAAAATTGTTATCACTTGGATAACAACTTTCCACTAATTTGCTGTCTAAATCTAAATCCAAAGCCTTCACCCTCCTGTTGGAGGAATTCCTCCCTGATTGATCAAGTCTTCAGGAGTGTAGCTGTACTCACCACACTTGGCCAATTGTGTGTTGGTGAGGTTATTTAACCCATAGTTGGGGGTTGGGTTCAAAGTTGTCCTTCTAGACCAGTTACCACCTTAGGCTATAGGGACCAGTCTTTCTTACTATTTACCCACAGTTGTATTCATTAGATATTATACATTTAGATTACAATTTAATTCAGTCTTTGAATAATAAAACATCAATTCCTTGGAAGATAGAAAAAGGCACATTGTTCAGTTGTTTGTTGAGAAAGATAGAAAGTTCTGGGATGTATGAAATGAAAAATTTATTTTTACTTTTAATCTGTTTTAGACATCAGCTTGAGTATGCAAAATAATAAACAATATAAAGGAAAAATTAGCAAATATATTTGATCTAGTCAAGTCTTTAACATTTCTATAACATTCTACATTCAACATTCATTTCTATAACATTTTTGAAATGATTGGTACTCCAGTGTGTGATAGTGAGGGAGAGAGAAAGAAAGTGTATGTAGTTTTCTGTACAAGGAAGGAGCAAATGCATACATATATATATATATATATATATATATATATATATATATATATAGTTGCATATTTAGGCAGCAATTTTTCGTTTATGCATGTTTCATTAAAAACGACAGACAAAATACCACAGTTAAGCTTTTTATTTAATTTTTCTTGTGTTTGAACAAGAGCTTTCTTTTCTGGACAAAGGGTGTGTAAGAACTGTCCAAATGTTTTATATTTCCGAGCACTTTCGGCTATACCTTTAGCCATTATCAAGGATGATTCAATTTTTCAGCTTAATTGAGTGTGTGCATTATGTGTATGTCTTGGTGTGTGGTAGGGATGTTTTTAATTTTCTGAATACGAATGTTTTTAATTTCCGAATTGTGGCTTTGTTCATAGTTAATATTGTTAAGAGTTGTTTTTTTTCTTTTTTATTATTAAAGCTTCCATTATTTTTAGTATTCTTTTGCAGGTGATTGCAGTTAATATACACCCTTTGTCCAGAAAAGAAAGCTCTTGTTCGAACACAAGAAAAATTAAATAAAAAGCTTAACCATAGTACCTTGTCTATCATTTCTAATGAAATATGCATATATGTGTGTGCGTGTATGCTTGTGTGTGTGTGTGTGTGTGTGTGGAGAGAAAACTGTATGTGTATGCAATGATGCATGTATGTATAGGGAAGGAAAAATTGTGTGTGTGCATGGAGCAAGAAAATGTGCATTTCCCCATGAAATAAATTTTACTATAGTAGATGGCATCATACAGTGTGTATAAAATATTCAATATGCATATGTAAAAAAAAAACATAATACTGATGCATACTTTTGGGTCCAGTCTTGCTTTCCTTAACTGTTGGACATGACATCACCATAAACTGTTTTAAGCTTTTAGCTTTCTAAAAAATACCAGGATGTAGCCAACTTAATCTTGCCTAAAATATGGACAGCACATGGTTCTTGAAATTGACTTAGGTGATCAAAAGTATTTGAAAAAAAAACAACAGAACAAATATGAATTTCAGACAGTTTGATCTGAATTTTAATCCTGATATAGAACACCTTATTTGAAAATTGGAATAATACAATTCAAAAATTAAACTGATGGACCTTCCTTATCAAGTGAATTTAACCAAACTTTTCTTGGATATATATATATATATATATATATATATATATATATATATATATATATATATATATATATATATATAATTCCTACCCCAAAAATGTATATTTTTCTATATTGTTTCCTTTATGAAAATCTCTTGATATTTTCTATTTTGGGAAGAAAAATATAAAGATTAATCAATAAGTAATGTCTTTTTCCAGAATGGCACAACTAATATTGGTAAAAAGAAACCTGTTCAAATATGTATCTGAGTGTTTATAACGCTGTGCTCAAACATGCTTCATTTCAGTTTGTTGTGTGGGGGCATTTGTTAATCTTGGGTACAATGTTTGAATTATAAAACAAGAGTAAATCATAAGATTTTTGACACTAGAAGGTTTGGTGCCAATTGAAATTCACAGATGTATAAAAGTAGTGAAACCTTATGTGCACATAAACTACATTCACAGATTATGGTCTGAAAGAGGAACATTTTTTGTATCAAAATATTGTAAGGTTGCATTACAGTCAAGAAATAATTCAAATGTTGAAAAGTTTCCATTCACTGTTATTGACCACCCTCCTCACAGCCATAATTTGGAACCTAATTTGGATTGTTTTCAATTTTGAAAGAGCCATTGAAAGGTTAAAACTTTTCATTCATTTCTGAAATTTAAATCACTGTATATAATTAGATCAAATGTCTATCAGAAAATTTCTTCCTAAAAAAATTGAAAGAAAAAATCAAACAGATAGAGCATTTTGCTTCATTATTTTATCTGATCTAAAACTTGTTTTATAGGACTGGAAACTTTACTTATCAATCAACCCATATGATTTTGATGAGAAATCAATTTACTTCATCTTGATACCAGTTTCATTGTTCTATCTGGTTTAAAACTCATTTTTTTTTAGAATTGAACATCTTATTTATCAATCAATACTCATAAACTGAGCAGAGAAATATTCATCCAGAGAAGGGAATTTAACTTGTGAATAGATAAAGTTTTAACTTTACATTTTTAGCAAAAACACTGGCATTTTTTTAATCAAAGTAATTCTATAAAATTGTCTTGCAGGATTTCAACCTTGTCACATGGCCAAAGAAAGGAAAATTTCACAAAGGAGATTCCTACTTGGTGGTTTGGGTGAGTAATTATTGTTGATAGGAATATAGTAATTTTGATCAAAAGTTTATATTGATATACAGAAAACAATCTGGATTGAAATGAACAGGTTTCCTACTATCAAAAGGCCTTGAGAAAGATGTCAATTGAAAGGGAAATAATATTTTTGAATAATGCAGAATCAAAAAATATTAAAAAGTGTGTCATTCAAATAAAAAGTTTTCATGGAACAATTTTGTCCTTCATTTTTTTACAGAAAAATTGTTAAGTAAAGCCATTTGAGGTCATAAAAATATCCCTGGAGAATCTTTTCCCTGTGAAATTTTATTTACCATTTACAGATTTAAACAGTTCCTTATTCATTTACGAATTAATAATCCTCATTAAAAAGATTATATACTTGATTTTTTAAAATTTTATATTTCTTTTCAAAAATGTATTTCTCTTTTCCATTTTTCAAGATTTTTCTGCCTCACCCTATTTCTTTATTTACTGACTGTATGAAAAATATTAAATTGTCTGTGGCTAAATTCAAGCATATCTGAACATTGATAAAATTTTGAAATTTGGTCCATTTTATTGTCACTGAATGTTGATTTTTCTTATATAATAATAAATTATAATAATAATTATAATAAAACCATTAATGGATTCATGCATAGAAAGGTAACTTGTGACAACAGAATCTAAGTGTTTTAAGTGTTGCCTATTATGTGAAGTAAGTAAATGTGCTGGCCAAACATGCACTAGAGTTTGGATTAAACATAAACATCTCAAAACAAAGTGAATGACAACTGATAAAAACAATTGCAATCTGCAAATCACAATCTGAAACTGATAAATCACTCAAGTTACAGAGTTTATATATCTTGGTCACAAGCTGTCATCAAGTAACAATGGAACGGTTGCTATGCAACATCATATACTCTAGGTTGGGTACCTTCAACAAGAACAAAAACGCTAACATTGAAATAAGTTTCTCATCATTTGACACTTACATCCTACCAGTTGTGTTATATGGTCTCAATTGTGTTAACTGGATGACTAAATTACTTTAAAAACTTACTACATTCCAGAACCACATCATCAGACTTATGACTAAAAAATGCCTCAGAAACCATATCACAGTCAATGAGTTAATATTACAAACTTAAGTCAATCACATCAATTATCAAATCAAGAGTACTTAAACTGCATGGTCATATCAAAAGATAACCTCATGATGTGAGTAAGTTATGCCTAGAAGGTAAGTTGGCCAGTAAGAGAAGCAAAGGTCGAAAGCCAAAATGATGGCTTCATAATGTCCACTTATGGACTAGATTTATAGAAAATAATATCTCATGTTGATCCGCAGTTTGCAACAAGTAGAGTAAGCAACTGATGATAATTACGTGAACTGTCATTTATGGATATCTTTGCAATGAATTATATCAAAATAGGCTATAGGCAGACAACAGTTGTTTTCCCTAATATTGATCACATGGAATTTCAGCCCCTTTAGAGAGGAGAACTCTTCTTCCATTTATTTTGCTTCCATTTTTTGAAATAGTTAATACCTTCCTAACCACTGGGGCATCCACACATACGGAAAATAGACAACGTGTACACAGCCTAACATAGAGTGAAAAGTCATTTTGATTCACCTTGCTAAGGACAGTCAAAGAACACATGGCTGATATGTTTATTTCTTTGTTTGTTTTTCTGTCAAACATTCTCATCTTTTGAACTGTGTGAACAATCATTTGTTTTTGGACATGTGGAAACCATTTTAACATGTGTATTTGAGCTGTATTTTTGTCTTATTAAATGTTTTGTTTATTACAGGCATGTATCTCATCTCTCCATAATCACATTCAATGTTAGTGTATCATTGACTACACTAATGCTAATATTAGTACTTAATCTTCCTAGCACTAAATATCTGTTAAATTATGGCTGGCTTATAACCAATAATAATAGGGTGATTTCTTTGTTTTTAGTTTAAAAAAAATAGGTAATAAACTGTAAATGTTGATACCTGAAAGATCTGTAATGATTCATCTTAGAACTCAACATTATTACAAGTCATAATCAACCTATCAATGCAGATCATATATCTAAACACTTCCCCAAATGAATTCGGGAAAAGATAAAGCTGTTCTCAGTCTTTGAATTTATTTTCTTGACATCAATTTATAGTTTTCACTTGATAAAAAGAAATAAGTTTTTGTTTTTTTATTCTAATGTTCACCCAGAGTCTAATGTTCAGCCCAAGAGTCACTCAAGGTAGAGAGTTACTGTGTGGTGTTGCATGAGTATAAGAGAAGACAGGAAGTGCACTTCATGAGGTTAGGAAAGGTAACAATTGAAGAGGTCAAAATTGTAGCAATCAGGAAAAAATTCCTGCTGGGAATCTCTGTTCCACAAAGCATCAGTTAAACTTCCTCCTTACTAATGGAATACAAAGGGAATGGGGATGATTAATTCTTGTGTATGTAAGATGGTGAGTCCCAATTGAAAAGGTCAAGAGTAGTGGAACAAAGGAACATAGCTCGTCAAAAACACTTACCATGGAAAGAGCAACAGATTAGCAATAGGCTTGTGATTTTTTTGTCTGTTGGAAAGGGGGCTGTAGGAAGGAATAATTCATCATCCACAAGGTCATATAGATGCTTTTGAATTCTATCAAGGTTTTCCTCACAGATGTTTCTTTATTATTGGAAGCCAATATTTTTATCTGTTGCTTATTGGATGTCATCAATGATCCATTATCATCTTAAGGATAGGCATGTCATCCAAATATCTTTTAAAAATTCACTTTCCAATAAAACCAATCAAGCCATATTCATCTTATGATCCTATCTTGAAAAAAATAGAACTCAACAGTTCCATGAGCTTTAAATATTCTCCCAAACAATGATGATATCATTTGGTTTGATAATAAAGATAATAAAAACATTAATATAATTTTATACCATTGCTGCTATAAAACAGCCATAACTCTGAAAATCTTTGATGAGATGATGATGCTGTGATCAGGCATCATCATAGAGCTGATCATTACCACTAACCTTGAGTGCTTCAAGAATACCTTTGATACAATTACATATTGTTGTTTATCTATCAATTTACTGGGATGCAAGACGTAGGCTCTACTCATATTTAAGGATTATTTATATAACTTCATCTTTTCATAATTTTCTAGTTTATGTCCAAAAATGTAATTATTATCATTATTATTATTATTATTATTATTATTATTATTATTATCACCATCAAAAAACAATTATTAATTCAATAATGAGAGGAATTTTGGGAATTCATTGACCAAATGACAAAGACCTGGGCATGATGATAAACAATATCTGGCAGCAAGGCCTCTGATCAGAATATTGGAGATTTTGAGAAGTGTGGAACTGCCTTTTAATTTCTGTTGTTCTCAGCTCCACCCTGACCTGGGATGATTGTACCTTGTTAGGGTCCCAGATATGGGGAAATAGGGAACACCCAAGCAAAAGCAAAACACTATGAAAATATAATAATACATTTTTATAGTAAAAATACAAGCGATACATATTTATAGTCAAATTAACAACAATACATATTTATTGTAGCATTACCAACAATATATATCTATAGTAGAATGCCCAACAATACATTTTATAGAAAAATGGCCAATACATTTTATATGTAGTTGAAGCCATAAAATTGTGTTTAAAATATTTAGATTTTGGTATTAGATACTCCATAGAGGTTCATATGCTGCTAAACAAAATCAACCAACCAACCAAATGACAAAGGTAAAGACACTGATCAGTTAATTTGTTCTCATTTAGGAAAGTCAATTGAAGTGTATGGGTGTCCTGACTCAGGTGATGCAATTTATTATTAGTATCCTTTCTTACTTTATTAGAGGCTTTCACATGAGTCAGGACACTGATCAGTTATTTTGTTCTCACTTAGGAAAGTCAATTGAAGTGTATGGGTGTCCTGACTCAGGTGATGCAATTTATTATTAGTATCCTTTCTTACTCTATTAGAGGCATTCACATGAGTCAGGACACTGAGCAGTTAATTTGATTTCAGCAACAAAAGTTAGTTGAACTGCATATGCATCCTGACACAGGTGGTGTAATTTTTTTCTGGGTGTCTTTTCTTTCTTTACCAGTGGAGTCAGGTTACTAAGCAATTAATAGATTATTTTGACAAAGTGATCTTGCCTGTTCAATTATTGGTCCTGATACTTGATCACTTAAATGGAATTATTTATCCCTGTCTGCAATTTATATTATTGTCAACACAGATATTCCATTTTAATTCAATGAATCTTCGTTCCTTCAACACTCGAGAAATTGAGATCAACGTTGCATTGAATGTCTAGGTCATTACTAGTTTGTGATGCATTTATTTTTGTATTTTCTCACCTCCATTTGTTAGAAGAATCTTCTATTTGCAATGTGGTAACAGCTGTGTGATGTTTAGTTGTAAACATTATAATGATCTGACTTGGGTTAAATTGTAAACAACTTCAGCCAAATTGCAGTTGTGTGTAAACCATTGCCATAGAAGCCGCAGGCTATGATCTTTCACTTGACAACAAATGGTCTGTAAACCAGTTAATGATAGTTAATCCTCTTTAATCTTGTGTCAATCTGTACAAGTAGATTCAGCTTTAGTTTGACCTTGAAGTAATAATTTCATTGTGAAGATTAATACCTGCTATTTAATATATATACATTAATATATATATATGTATCTAAATGTAAAAGAATGAAGAATAAAATTTCAATCTTAAAAACATTATTTTAAAACAGGGCTCAATACAAAAGTAGAGCAATAAATATTTATTATACACTCTTACATTAGAACATGTAAGTATCCGCTACAAAATTGTACATTTTGTTTCGATGTTTAAATAAAATATCTCTTCAGGTAATTAACAATTTTTGACCTTGAAACAACCAAGGATAGTAGGTCGATTGAAATGCTAGAAAATCTGAAGTGTAGCAAAATGAATGCTTACAAATCTTAAGTGTACCAAA